CCAGTGTGCTGCAGAGCTCTCCTGGACCCCCTGGCAGAGGCAGCCCCAGGATTCTGAAGGTCTCAGAGAGGTTCTCAGCACAGCAGCAGGAGAAACCCTTCTGGGATGGGATGTGATGTAATGTGATCCTCCACAGGGATGGCTGGGAGGAATCCAAGACACAGAAGAAACCAAGGGTGAGAAAGGGATGCACCTGGTGCCCCTAGGATGGGCCAGCAGGGACAGGCTGGGGACAATCTCGTGCCTGGGAGCAGCAAGCCTGGGGTGTGCTCACACAGGGATGTGCTGCAGCAAACCAAGCAGGACCCTGCCAGTGGCACTGAGCTGCAGGGATCAGCACAGGGGGCTCTGCTGAGGCTGAGCTGGGGGCACAGAGGAGAGCAGGGAAGCTCTGAGTTGAGTGCTGGGTTGTGGGAACCCAGGACATCCCTCTGGCTGCCCAGGATGGCCAGGACCCCTGCCAGGGGGCTCAGAGGCCCTGGCACAGAGCCCAAAACACCTGTGGGTTTGATTATGACCCATGGAGCAAATTACCAACCTTAGATGAAGATCAGCAAGCCACAACAGTTTAGGTAGAATAATAGTGAAGTTATCAGGGGGTGGAAAAGTAGATTTTGGGGTTTTTGGTATGGGAGTTCAGGAGGCAAGATGGAGGGAACTGGGTGTGTCCAGCCTTTCTCCTTCTTCTTCTTGGCCTCCATCTTCTGCTGTGATGTTGGCACTCACAGATTGGTTTAGAGTAGAAGCTCACTGTCTAACATAGGTGATAGGTATTGGAAGGTAATTGTAAACATTGTACAGGTAGTTTTTAGTATAAAGACATAACACCGCCCTGGGGGCAGGCAGAGTGCCTGGAACTGTCCTGCTGGATGGACCTTGGTTGGACAGGAGAAAGAATTTTATAGATAAGAAACAATAAACAACCTTGAGACTGAGAAATGAAGAGCTCTGACTCTTTCTTCAAGCTGGGAAAAGAGACTTTCTAACTCTTCTTGGGGTCAGTGTGACCAGCTAAAGATCCCAGCACTGGGTGATGTCTGAGAAGCTTTCAAGACCTTCTGTGAGGGTAAAACTCCATCAGACCCTGAGGAGAACAGTGGCACTGAGGGGCCACCTCTGCCCAGCCCTCTCCTGTCACCCCACAGGGATGTTCTCGATGCTGATACCAAAGTGGAGCTCTCAGTGACCACACCTGCTGTCCCTGCCTGCTGAGGGACCCCAGAGGGGCTGTCCCTGCGTTCCCAGGCTCAGTTCTGTGCCCATGGGCAGTTTCAGAAGAGGGAAGGGGCGAGCTGCCAGTGCCAGAATGTCCCTCTGACATTTGCAGCAGGAATGAAGCTGCAGGCTGGGACTGCACTGTGTGCTCTCCAGGTGATGGGAGCTGCAAAACAAGAGTGCAAACCAACAGCTCATTTTTAGCACCCTAAAAGATTTCCAATCTCTGCCTGGGAGAGTCTCTTCAAGTCAGGGAAGTTTGGGCATTGCCAGAAGAAAAGAAATACAGGAGTCTTGAGGTTCACAGTGCCCACTGTCTGCACAACTGTAGGTTAGATTATCAGTGGTCATATACAGATAAATTTCTATACAGATCAGCTATAAAAATGGAACCCTGCTATGCTATCCCAGCAAGTCCAAAACTGCAGTAATTGATGCTGGATTAGTTCTGGCCTGGCAAGCACTTAGCAGAAGCCCCCATCAACAGCCTCATGTTAACCGGGAGGGAAAAGTCCTAATTTGAGTCACTGACAGTTTTATAAAAAAAGAACATTATCTTCTCTGTGATGTCTGCTGGCAGGAGATGCTAAACCACTTATTTATAACTATCTTCCCAAAATGCTTTCCTGCTTGGAAGCCAAACTAGAAATCCTCTTTGGTTTGTTGTCTTTAACCAAAGGATGCTGGTATTTCTGCTTCCAGCTGGCAAAGGGACTCAGAGCCCATGCCAGCCTCTGGTTGGGAACAGACTTGGCTTTCCAGGCTGCTCACACAGGCACAGGAAGGCAGGCTGGGGAAGGGCCAGCAGGTGGGTGTGATGGGCAAGCCACATCAGTGTCACTGTCCCAAGCAGGGACAGGTAGGAATTCATCTGTGGGCAGGGACAGCAGGAATTAATCTGTGAATAGGGACAACAGGAATTCACCTGTGAGCAGGGACAGGCAGGGATTCACCTGTGGGGTGGGACAGGCTGGTGGGGAAGGACAGGCAGGAATTCACCTGTAAATAGGGACAGACAGGAATTCACCTGTGGGCCGGGACAGGGAATTCACCTGTGAATAGGGACAGGCAGGAATTCAGCTGTGAGCAGAGACAGCAGGAATTCAGCCGTGAATAGGGACAGGCTGGAATTCACCTGTAAATAGGGACAGGCAGGAATTCACCCTGACAGCTCAGTGAGAGGGGTTGGATCACTGTAGGAAGGAGGGATGGAGGAGGCTCAGGAGCTGCTTCAGCACTTCAGGGAGACCCAGCCCCTCTCCTGAGCATCACCCCACAGCACTGAGCCCTGGGCAGGCAGCAAAGGCAGCCCCAGGGTGTTTGGGGCTGATGGGAAGAGCTGACACCTGAATGTGCCCAGCTCTGGCCCCTCAGGTTGGGAAGGACTTTGAGATTCCAGAATTTGTCCAGAGGAGGACACGAGGATGGAGAGGAAAAAACCCTGTGAGGAACCCCTGAGGGAGCTGGACATTTAAAAAAAGCCTGGATGTGGCACTGGGTGCCATGGTTTAGTTAATAAGGAGATGTTAAGTCATAGTTTGGACTAGATGATCCTAAAGGTCTTTTCCAACCTAATTAATTCTATGATTAGAATTCTATGATTAGAATTCTATGATTAGAATTCTGTGACAATTTATGGAGACCTCTACAAAGCAGGCACTGACACATAGCAATGTGGCTCTTGGAGAAAAAGGATTTTGGGGCATTCCCAGGCTAGCAGAGCAAACCATGTCTGCAGCAGGGCCAGCTAAGTCAGCTAAGTCATTGGATGCAGCATTTAAACTTGCTGTAATTCCATTAGCAAACACAACATTCTCTTTGTGACTATTTTATTGTGTTGGCTTTGCTTGTTGTAGGGTTTCTGTTCCATTCACTTAGGCCTGAGTATTATAGTGACATGAATGCTTTATGAGACACTCTTCATCTGGCTTATTTAAGAAAATGTTTCCCAACCAGAGAGCTGCAGAGTCCAGGGAGCAGGAGGGTGGCAGGAAGGGAACTCACTGCTGGGGGAGTGTGGGGAGCGCCTGGGTGTCACAGACATCTTTTAGTGAAAAATCCTTTCCTTAGGACTTTTCCTCCTGAGAAGCTGAGAGACCTCAGGAACAAAATGTAAACAATGGTTATCACCTGCTGTGGAATGCAACAGGTGCATCTGTGATTGGCTCATGTGGTTGTTTCTAATTAATGGCCAATCACAGTCAGCTGGGTCGGACAGAGAGCCCGAGCCACAAACCTTTGTTATCATTCTTTGCTATTTATTCTTAGCCAGCCTTCTGATGAAACCTTTTCTTCTATTCTCTTAGTATAGTTTTAATGTAATATATATCATAAAATAATAAATCAAGCCTTCTGAAACATGGAGTCAGATCCTCGTCTCTTCCCTCATCCAAGAACCCCTGTGAACACGGTCACACCTTGGGGACACGTGGGGACGTGCAGGCAGGGATGGGGCAGCTGGGGTGTCACAGTGGGGTGGCTGCAGCAGCAGCAGGAGGCCCAGCAGGCAGAACCAGGGGCCCAAGGAGCCAGGGTGTGCTCCCTGCCCAGCAGAAGGGCTGGGGATGCTGCACCCTCCCCTCCGCTCCTGATGCTGCAGACAGTGGGAGAGCTCCTGGGTCCTCCCAGCCAGCAGGGAGCCCCTGGGGATGAAAGGCACTGTGGAAATGACATGGTTTGGGGTGCAGGTGCTGTGGGAGAGGTTTTGGACAGAGCTGGTCTCCTTAGCAGCAGTTTGGGGAGGAAGGGGGTGTTTCTGGTTCCTCCTTCCCAATGTTGCCAGCCATGTGGATGTGCTTGTGGTCTCAACACCCTTGACTGGGCTAAACATCTCCAAACTGCTCTGCAAATCTTAGCTATGGGCAGGGGGAGTGACTGCACTGCTGCTGAGTCATGAGGTTGGTAAGGGACAGGCAGGACATGCACCAGTGCCACCCCCTGCAGGACAGAGTGCCCTGGCCTTCCTCACTCCATCCTGATGCTCCCATGGATATTCCAGGTGGGGAGATCCTGTGCCTTGTGCTCAGCCCTGCTCCTGCAGGGGCAGGGGAAGCTAAGCCTGGCACAGGGGCTCAAAGCAATGCTGAAGGCATCACCCTGGGGCCTTGGCTTGGCTGCATGAGCCCAAAACACACTGGGGGCAGCTCTGGGGGGCAGAGGGAGGCCCAAGGAAGAGGAGGTGCACCCCTCTGTGGCAGCAGGACCATGCCACCCCAAGGAATCACCAGGCACAGGATGTCCCTCCTTGCAGGAGGACAGTGTGCCCATGGGTCCAGGGACAGATGGCTTGGATGTCCCCACTTTGTGCTGCTGCTGGGAAAGGGACAAACACTGGTTTGGGTGCACTGTGGTGGTCAGGAAGGGAGAAAAAGCCTGTCTCCAAGGCACTGGAGGGCTTTCCTTGCAGGAGTGTGCAGTGTTAGACTGGGCCTTGCCTCAGCTGCTCTGTGGGATGGCACCGGGCTCAGGTGGCTCTGTGGGACAGCAGTGTCACCCTGCTCTTCCAGAGAGCCCCTTCTGCTGTTTTCCCTTGGTGCTGGGGATGCCGCAGCTCACCAGGGGCAGGAAGAGCCTTGGGGACCACCCATCTCCTGGCTCATCCCCAGGGCAGGTCCCACAGGGAACATCGTGCACTGGAGCAGGGGTTTGCCATGGGCTGGGCTGCCCCAGGCTGGCTCCTCCCCATCAGACCTGCCTGAACCCAGGCGTGAGCACTGAGACACCAATGGGGGCTGCTGAGCGGCCACAGGAAGGGGAGGGGGAAGAAGGGGCGGGGACAGAGAGGACCTACTAAGAAGGATGAGTTGATGGGGCCATAAGGAAGTGCCAGACCATCCCCCTGAGCAGGAGCTCTGTGGTTGCCAGGCCTGATGCTGGGTGCATGCAGCCCCACAGCTGCCATCTCCTCCAAGGCTTTGTAAAGCTTCTGCCTGGACTTCCTGGCTGAGAAAAATGAATTCTCTGGTGTGAACCACACTTCCTGCTAACACAAACTGCCCCAACAGTGCAGGATGTCGGCCAGACAGGGCCTTTCTGGTCTGGAGAGACAAACCCAGCTGGGTTTGGTGAAGACAGAGAGGAAGAAGACCTGAAATAACTACAAGAGGCTGCCACCCCTGCAATGGCTCTGGGGACCACAGCAGTGGTAGGATTGCCCCAGCTGGCCCATGCCAGGCTGCTCCCCTGTCCCCACAGGTGACCAGCTCACCTGCACTCACAGCCCGGGTGCAGGAGCCAGGCTGAGTGAGTGGCACAGCCTGCAGCCAGGTGTCCAGGAGCATCTCCCATGCCAGGGCAGCCCATCCCACAGGAGAAGGAGCATGAAATGGCAGAGGCATGAAGACCATGGGGACCACAGGAGGTGGCAGAGGAGAGATGGCAGCACAGGGGGACTTGGTCAGATGGGTGACAGCAGACTTCAGATGTTAGAGGCACAACTTGTTATGATCCCTTATTATTTTTTTTTAGCTTTCATCATCAAAGTAAACCAAACCAAAGTATATATGGGATTAAATTAAAATCACAGTTTTGTTTACATTATAAAAGAGTGACATAATAATAATAATAATCATAATAACCATAATCATAATATCAAATGAACAATAATAATTAAACCAAACAAGAAAAGAAGAAAGCCCTGGAGAATTCCTGCTGGGATGATGCTGACAGATGGAAGGTTTGTGTGACCTGTTTTACTGTTTGGGGATCATTCCCTTGATAGCTGACTCCCGGTTCACATAGGTGGCCCAGTAGACCAGGTTGAAAATGGCAAAGAGCACTGGGAAGACGATGCGGGACATCTTGTCTACCTTGCTGACGCTGTTGTAGGTCTTCTTGCTCTCGGGGAGCTTCTCCTCCAGGCGGGGCAGCTTGGGGGGCACGCTGGCGGCCGTGGCAGTGGCAGCAGCACTCTTGGAGATGGTGGGCAGGCCGGGCTCCTTGGAGATGTTCAGGGCGTAGGTGGTGCCAACGATGTTGTAGGTGTTGTTGGTTTTCTTGGCCAGCGCCACCGGCTCTTTCTTCTAGGGGAGGTGGGAGGGGGGAAAAAAGGAAAAAAAAACAAACAACAAACAAACAGAGGTGAAGTGGCAGAGAAGGGCACGGAGAGTGTTCTGTCCTGTGAGTTTACCTGCTTGTCCAGGTGAGGAGTGGAGAAGGGTGTGAGGAGCAGGAGGCCAGGAAGGGAGGAATGCACCTTGTGAAAGGAGGATGAAAAAAGGAATGACACCCTGTGTGCTTATCCTTGGGGAAGAACTGCATTTTCTGCTTGGCTGGCTGCTTCCTGGGTCAGGTGAGAGGAGGACACAGCACACAGGATTACAGCTTGATTTTATTTTTTTGGTGGCAAAAAGCCACGTTAAGAGTGTGGGCAACAGCATTGCAGTATTTTTGCACTGTATTTCAATGCCCCGAGTTCCTCACAGGAACACCTTATGATTTAACATAATGATGTTCAAATTGTTTCTGGAACCCTTTAGAGCACGTCATGACCCACCCAGGTCAGGTACAGAACAGATGGAAGGCATCTGCACCAACCAGGATTTGTGGAGTGCTCAGCACAGCATTACAGGGCAGAGGGAAGCCTTTCCTCCTGCCTTCCTACCCAAGGGATGCTGAAAATCATGGGAGTGAGGTAATCCCTCCACAGCATGTGTGCTGCAGTGAGGACAAACTGCAGAGAGAATGGCCCTTGTGTGTCAGATGGGATGCACTGAAGGATGAGGGTGAATGCTGGGACACACAGTTCAGTGTTCATGAGGATGGGTGGGCAGGAAGATGGACCTAGGGGCTCATGACAGGTGTTGGCCCCTCTCTGGGATCTTCCTGCTGCTGCCAGGCACCTGAGGCCAGCTGCACTGTGTTGTATAAAGCAACTCAGGGCTACAAGGAGAATGAAATCTGCACTCAGGTACCCCACGGGTGCCCCCTGCTACACCAGGAGCCAGCACCAGACACAGCAGTGCCTCATGGTGGGGCTCTGCTCTCTAAACTCAGAACAAGGTGTGCCTTTGGATGAATTTTTTCTGTTCCAAAGCAATTGGAACACAAGGTGAGGCTCAGCCAGGAATTTCCCAGGGCTGCTGGGCATGGTGATGCATGTTCCTGTAAGGGAAGCACTTCAGGAGGAGAGTGCTGTATTCTATTTTACATGTGTCTACAGTCACCATGGATATTCCTGGTTACCTTAGGAAATGAATTTTCCACAGGGATTTTCATAGGGACACTACAAGCAGATTTCTGTGCCATCTTTAAACCCCTCTCCAATAACACCACAGTCAGGCAGCCTAGTAATAATGTCAGCAATTACAGAAAATTTTTTAGGAGGAGGTCTAGATGTCTTCAGGCTCCAGACCAGACTAAACCACTGTTTGGACCATATTCACAGTATTTGATGGTCTTTAACAATTAACTGGGTCTGATTCTGCACTCTTTAGAGCCATGTTAAGGTGCTCCCTCTGCACAGCAGATGAACTTTTTCTGCTAAAAAACTGACAAAAAACAAGTAAAGGGCTAATGATCCTTTACCTATTAAAACACTTAAATATGCTTAAGTATGATTACTTATTAACACAGCTAAAGGAGGCAATAAAATAATTAAAAATCAGTAATGAAATGAAAAACAGATTGTTGTTCACAGAACGTGATTGGCAGTGCACTGTGATTATATTACTATTAATCAGCCACATTATTCATTAGAGGAATAAGATGAATACCAGTGACATGACATTTTCAACCTGGACAGCTTTCCTGCCCAGAGTTTGGAAAGTGGATCCATATGAAAACAGCTGAAATGGAGTAAAATCAGGCAAACCTGGGTGCTGTGGGTGGTGACAGCGAGCTGCTGCTCCCAGTAGTGTGATCCAGAGACCCAAGCATTAATTTGGGCTCCCCTGGACCTCAGATCAGGATGTTCAAGCTTGGGAACCTTCATCCCAGCCTTTTCCTCACCCTGCTCAGGGCTGGGAGCACCCAGAACACCCACACTGCCTACCCCAAGGCATGCATGTGCTCTCCATGTGTTCTGCCCCTGAGGTGTCAGAGAAATGGTTCAGCCTGGCTGCTGGGCTTTATAAATGAGTTTTCCAGGCAAGGTTTTGACACTCAAACAAAGCAAAATGTGCTTGTTGCTGTCAGCTGCAAAGCAGCTCCCAGCCTTCACTCTGCACCTGCATCTGTGAGGAATTCCACATCCTCCTGAAACAGAAGGAGAGAGTGGATAAACAGGAGGAACCCCCACATTTGCTTGGAAAACTTGTCCTATTTAAAACCTCTATTTTGCAAAGCAATTTCTGCACCTATGGCCCCATTGAGGCCCAGGGAGACTGAATTGCTGCACAAAGATGTCCTTGTGCTGCTCTCCTGAGGGAAAAGCTGTAGAATGTGGTGTAGAAATAAATCTGTTCCCTAGATAGTGTAATCTGACAAGTTGTTCAACAACACACACGCTGGAAAATAACAGTATTTTTTGCTAAATATTCTAGTTTTCAAGCCTCTCTGCCGAGGAACTAACAATAGAACACCTAAATTATGGGAACTACTGCTTCTGTCTATGATTTGCTTGAGATTTAGTTCTCTGTCCCTGCTCCTTGGCAGGAGAAAATTTGGATTGGAAGCACCATGACTCTGACAGGCAACTCTGAAAGCCACCAGTATTTGCACAGCTTGGGGAATCCAAGTGTTTGCCACTTGTCATTCTAGAGAAAAGTCACTTTAATGATCCCCAAGCAGCTCCAGTCTCCGGCATACCTGCATGCCATAAATCAAAGCCCAGCACCTGCAGTTGCTGTTGCAGCAAAGGTATCACTCCTTCCCCATACCAAGCCAAAGACTTGATAATTCAGATTATATGAGACTGGTCCCAGTGTTCTTACACTCCCTGGATCACCAGACAAAGAGGTTGGATGGATTAACTGATCAGCCCAACACACCACAGAGTGATGAGAGAAAAGAGGGTGAAATGCTGCTTTGGAATGATTCATGGACTGTGCTGAAGGTGCTGAGGACATAAATCACTGGCAGTGTTATCACAGAATCCATTAGGTTGGAAAAGACCTCTGGGATCCTCATGGAAATCATGGAGATTGCAAGTGCCAAGAACAAAGGACAAAAGGGCTGCAGAGCATGACCAGCAGGGCAAATCCCAGCAAAAACATTGACCATAGTGAGGCAGACAAAAAGGAGAAGGGTCTGAACCATCCTGAGCCCTAAAAACTTCAACCTGGTTGAAAATGGTGGCCTGTCAAGGTTGGTTCTTGTTGTTCTCGAGGATTGGAACAAAGATACCACAAAGGGAAAAGAAAAATTTTTCTCAAGGGAGCTGGATCAAAGGCAAAGTGGAGAATTGAGTGGGTTACACTAAAAGCCAGGCTTTACCCAGCCAGTAGAAAAAGCACCTCATGCATGTTTTTTGTAGTAAAAAGTACATTGAAAGTACATTAAAGGACCTAACCTCACCATGCACTGAAGAACTATTGTCTTATGACAAAAACAGAGATACAGGATTATTGCTCTACCCAAAGCATGTTCTGCTTTTATGTATCTGGCTGCAGATGCTTGTAATGGTTTGTTGCTTTTTGACACCGAAAATTTCAGGGTAATGCCATTCAGACACAGACACAGAGCTACATCAGCTTTTATGTACACACATGGCATTGCAGGCAGAAGTGGGTTTAAGTGTCTTCCAAGAATCCAAAGCATCTTCCATCCTGAGAAACAGACAACACTTTTTGTGGTAAACTCACTGGTAAATGTCATCCTTGCAGTTTCCCAGCAGCAAAGTCACCGTTGCTTGTTCTCTCTTGGATCCTCACTGTCACAGCCACTCCAGAAATCACCTTGAGGTGGCCATGCTTGTGGCTGGGATGGTGGATGGGTCTCTCTGTCCAGACACAGTCCTTCTGTCCTGAAGTGGATCTTTTTCACAAGGTATTTTGAGGATGATGGAGGTCGGGAGCTTTGCTGGCTACTGAACCCACTCACCTTTCAATCTCTTTGGCCTCTCACTCATCTCACGCCTCTCTGCCATCTCACACCATCTCCTGGTGATGTTTTGTTTTAAAAAGTCACCTTTCCTTTCCTAACAAGCTTTTCTCTTTGGACCCAAATACCTCTCTTCCATTTGATCTGCAGCTCTAGGCTGGTTGCAGCCACTCTACCGTACAAAAAGAAAATAAACTTTTCATCTACAATTAGCAATTACTCATGAAAGGCTGGAAAGGCTTGGAAAAAATCTTTGGGTCCAAAAAACATAAGTAAAACCTTATCAGAGTGCAGGTTAAAGGGAGTTTTTAGTGACATCCATGGTGATATCTGCTGCTTTTCACTGGAGAGCTGCAGAGAATGTGCAGAGTAACTCCCAGCTAGAACCAGCTGTGGCTGCAGCCAGAGCACCATCATGATTTTATGATGCAGAGACCAGCAATGCACCAAGATCAGCCCAGCATTTTAGATTCTACCTGAAAAAAACCCAGGTTTTCCCATCTAAACCAATGGTTTGGCTGAGGGTGAGAAAGAAAAAGAATAAACACGCTGGGGGTGTCTGTCAGCAACCAGCAGCTTTTCCATGGTACTGATTGTGTCCAAGTGGGATGGGAAGCATTGCTGCTGCCTACAGTGATTTTTTTTCATGCTCATGCAATGAAACCTGGAGTGAGGCTCCTTGCCATCACACCAATAAAGAACATTGCTTTTGGCTGGGGAGAAGGATCCCCAGAGACCAGGGCTCAGCCTGGGCTTCTCACTGGCAGTTTCACCCTTGATACAAACCCTTTAAAATGCCAGTAGTTATTCTTCTGCCTCTTCTTCCTTTTGTGGTTTCCACCACCTGGCTTGTCAGTTGTTTCAAGAAGAGCTAATTAGAGGCTGAAACTGAGCCAATGAGGCACCTCCATTGCGTGGCAAATTCACTGCTTGGAAATACTCATTGGAATAAAGATGAAAAGCAAACATGTTGACACATGGTATTCCTAAGCTCCCTGAAAGCCCATCACTCTTGAGGGAGCTCTCCTGAGCTGCAGAGACTGGGAGTGAGTTTGCTTCTTCAGTAGAGACCAGAGAGAGCTCAAAAAAGCATCCTCAAATTTGGAGCCCTTCCTGATTCTCCAGGCTGATACCAATTGCAGCAAAGGCACGGAGAGCTCCCCCTCTGAAACATTCCTGGTCCTGCTTTGTTTTCCTGTTTGATTATCATGTGCAGGAACATTCTGCGTGCTCTTAGCCTATTGTTTCAGCACTGTTAGTCTTGTGGTGCTGGGTCAGTGGATAAATTGAGGAACACGCTGCTTCTAAGATAAACTGCAGCTTTTGAGCCTTGACTGCTTTTTCCACCCAGTTCACATAATTGCCCAAGGCTGTGTGAATCCTGACTTTGTGCTGATTTGCCCATCCCTGAAAGGGACACCACGGCTTTGAGGACCTGTCCTGACTCTTCACTCGTGCCAATCACTCAGGAAAGGCTTCTCTCATCTCTAGAGGCCAGGTTGGCATCACTGCTCATGGTGGAAGTGGAAGGCCATCCCCTGACCCCCTCTGGATGCTTTCTGCCATGAGTCTGCTGCTCAGACCACAGCTGCAAAAGCAAACAGATAGACAGAGTCCAAGAAAGACAAGAGAGAGGCATCCAACACCCAGTGATGGCTCTGTTCACCTTCTTTGACCTCCACAGCAGAGAGATGACTGGCTGCTTTCTTCCCAAAAGTTGCTGCAGTTCTGTCAGGTGTTTAACATACAGCCCCACAACAACTTCCAACAACACATTAAAATGCAAAGGAGAAAAATATAAAGGCTCCAGAACCGAGAACAAGGACAAAGCTGATTTTCAAATTGATTCAATAAATATAAACAAGGAGCAGCATGCTACAGTAAGCGATTTCTCTGCGCAGCCAAGATTAAATCAGTTCAGAGGGAGGGGGGCACGAGCAGGGGCAGCAGAGCCTGTCAGGATGAAGCTGCCAGAGAGGCTGATCCCCACTGAGGGGGGGGAAACGTGGGTGATGCCAGGCATTAATCTGCTGCCAGTTGGCATTTGGGATTGCTGGCTTCCCACCCACCCTCTGTGCCCAGCTCACAGAGCAGCAGCTGCTGGCAGCGGTGGGCAATGGCACCAGTGTCAGAGCTGGCCAGGGGACAGGGCTCAGGGGGTGTCCTGCAGCATGTTTGGGGTTTTTGGCATGCTAGCAACAAGGAATGGGGTTGGAGGGCTGGGTTGGGTTGGGGTTGGAAAGAAAAGGAAGGAAACACAAAACCACCAGCGGAGCAAACCCAAAGCACAGATGTTCCCCTGGCAAACAGCCACACAGAGAACAGAGGGAAGAGCCAGCAGCCATGCCTGGGTGTTCCCCTGCAGCTCAGCCCCCTGCCCAGCCCCAGGCCATTCCTCCCAGCCCTCAAGAAGCGCTGCAGTCAGGAGCTGGGCTGGGCAGGCAGTGAGTACCATCCAGCCCCCGAGTGCTGCGGGGCTGCACGGTACCCACTGCTGTGCTGGCACAGCTCCCTCGGGCAGCCCTTCTTCCCCCCACCTCCCCCAGCCCTGGCTGACCTTCATCTCCTGGGCCTCCAGCACCTTCTTGCCATCCCAGGCCCAGCTGCGCTTGGTGAAGTAGTTGACGGTGGCGAACTCGATCAGCGCAGAAAACACAAAGGCGTAACAGACGGCTATGAACCAGTCCATGGCCGTCGCGTACGCCACCTTGGGCAAGGAGTTTCTGGCGCTGATGCTTAGTGTGGTCATGGTGAGCACCGTGGTGACACCTGCGGGGGCACAGGGATGAGATCACAGGGGTGACATGGTGCTCTTGTATCTGTTTCTCTCAAAACTGCTGCCACTCCCTTCATGGGAAAGGAGGAGCCACCCCTCCTCCCTCTCTCTGTAGTTAGGGGAGGATTATCCAGATTAACCAGTCCTTAGTGCAACTCAGAGAATAACTGAACTCAGTTTCATAGAGCCTAAAAATCACAGGATGGCCTGGTGTGGTATTCACATGCCCTCTGAACAGAGAGAAGCAGAGAAGAAGGAAAACACAGTTCTTATCTCGCTTGCAGTGCCTGTGTTGGGCTAAAGTAGAATGCAATATGGAGATTGTTTGCCCGAAGTGAGGATGCTTGGTTCCCTTGGCCTATCAGGGCCAAGAAGTGTGTGTGTCAGACTGTCATGGGACAGTCATGAGAGAATCAGAGATGAGTGCAGTGTGAGCAGTTGTGAGCAAGAGTGAGTGCATGGCAGATTCAGTTTAGATACAATGCACATAGTATAGTATAATAAAGTAATTAATTAGTAATTAATTAGCCTTCTGATGATGGAGTCAGATGCATCATTCTCTACCCCCTTTGTCAGAGTTGCCTTTGATTTACAATAGCCTGGGCTGGAAAGGACCTTAGAGAGCACCTGATCCCAATCCCTGCGACAAGCAGGGACATTTTTCTCTATCCCAGGTTGCTCAAAATTCCCTCCAGCCTGGCCCTGAACACTTCCAGGGATGGGGCAGCCACAGCTGCCCTGGGCAGCAGTTTGTCCAACCCCTGCTCAAATTTCAGGGCCAATTTTAGGTGGTTCAGGGAATTATTCTGGTTCAGTTTTGAGTACAATCAATGGCAAACCTCTTCATTAGGATGAAGATGACCTTCATAACCTTCCCCAAACTCTGGTGACTAGACCTCTGCTCTCCATAAGAGCCGTGGCTCACAGGGAGGCACTGCACTGCATTCCTCACCTGCTGGCAGGGTGAGGTGCAGGATGCTATACCCAGCTCATGTAGAATATGTCATGGAGAAGCCTCTAGTTGCTTTTGCAATGAAATAAAAATAATAAAATAACAGTGAAAAGAACAGCTAGATGGTCGTGAACCTCAGGGAGGATCAGAAACTGGTCACTCATCCAACACATCTCAGGGTTTTAGAAATACTGTCTTGTGACCTGCATGGATGAACACCTGGGATCCTGGGTCCTGCTGTCAGCGGCCCAAGCTGCCAGAATAAATGTCACAATGATTTATCTTAAATAAATGATCTGTTGCAAAATGTCTTTTAAAGCTTTTTTCATTAAAGCGAGCAACCATAACCATCCATTTTCCCCAATAATGTGCTTTTCAATTAAAAATGCATTAAAAACATTATAAAAATATTGACTAATTTTCAGTTCCCTTAAGCCTTACTCCTGGTAATTTAAGAGTTTCAATTCAATATTGTTGACAATACTTTCTGAGGGGCAGGAAAAAAAAAAAGGAACAAACAATTTGAGTTCTCATTATTTTCTTAATAGGAAAGCAAGGCAATTTGGGAGCAAAGACATTTGTCACACAGGTAGGTTTTAATTTTTCAGTCAGCTCTTGCCTGCTCTATCTGAGCTGCTGCTTGAGGAAACTTATTTCACTGCAATTCTCAGGGTAACACAGGAGGGAATCATATATGATACCACATATCCCTCTCTGCTTGGGGACTTTTGTCCAATATCCTCTCTGTTAAATAGAATCTGCTGGGCAGTGTTACATCCAGGATATACAATCCTGCAGCATCACACCTGCTCTGGGAGCGTGCCTGTGTAGATCCTGAACTAAAGGTCTTGACAGGAAATCACAAAGCAATTCTGTTATTAAATGCTTGTAAAAACTATTAATATATGTGCAGTGCCAGCCTGGCACTTTGCTGGGCTGAGAGGATCTGAAAGCAGCTGAAGGAAATAATAACACTCTATTCACCATGCAGTTATGCTGCCTCAGCCCAGGAACTTGTTATGTGGTGCTGTGACCAGGGGCACATTAGCAATTTCAAAGGTAGGGCTTTAAATGCCTCCCTGTGTCCCTATCCTCTGCTCTGCTCCAGAGCCAGCACAGATAAGCAGACACAGCCAAATGCATATAATTAGATGATCAATACCTTGATTACTGTTAATATTTATGGCTGGGCTTGTAGCAGAGCCATGGCCAGGAGTATTTTTGCAGTGATTTGGGGGGAACAGGCTCACTGGGATGACACTGAAAGCTGTGCTGGGGAATGGCCAGCAGCTTGGAAATGCTGGTCAAGGCCTGGCACAGAGCAGCCCTGATGCTCAGTGTGTTTCCCTTCCTATTTCCCTTTGTCCCCATTGCAGGCGTGGTAGGGGTAGGACGGTCAGGATGGACAGAGACAGAGATCTCTGGAGCCAGGGCTTGGAACTTGTGGTTTATTTCATTTATTGCAAAGGGCCAGGGTGCAGGGCCCTGCTGGGAGCTGCCAGCCACAGCTCAGAGCAGGCCCCAAAGAGGGAGAGAGAGGTAAAGAGAGTGGGAAAGAGAAAGAAGGCAAGAGTGTGGTAAAGAAGAAATGAGAGAGAGCAAAAGAGTAAAAGAGAGAGGACAAAAGAGTAAAAGAGAGAGAAGTTCCCATTCCAATACCATAAATCTTCTTCTGTGTTGAATATTCTGATTCTCACTAACCAATCTAGTACAAGATACAAATCCTACAGCATTTCCATACAGCCTATAAGAATCACTACATCACCATACTGTGTTACATTTTAAACCCTAAAAACTCCTCTTTGGGCCCCTTCTGCCAAGCTGGCAGGGTCTGCTCTGACCCTTGGGCCTGTCTGCAAGCAGAGGGTGTTGTTCCATCAAAAGGGGATCACCTTCAGCTAGCCACACCATTGTTTTCCAGTTGTTCAGTAACTGAGGCATCTCAAAGCTTGCTTTCATTCCAATCTCACTTATAGTTTCCATATTCTCAAAATCTTTTGCCAGGCAATCACATTTATAGGGCTTTCCTGTTTCATCTTCCCCAACTCCCCGTGCTGAGGGGAAGCCCTGTGCTCCCAGACTCACCAAAAACCGTGCGGGCAGGGACAGACTCCCTGTTGAGCCAGAAGGAGACCTGGGACAGGATGACAGTCATGATGCAGGGCAGGTAGGTCTGGATCACAAAGTACCCAATCTTCCTCTTGAGGTGGAAGTGCGTGGTCATCACGACATATTCCCCTGCAGAGACAGCCAGGGAGGGATGCTGGGCCAGGGAGGGGTGCTGGGCCAGCCCAGGGCCAGCTGGCCACTCCAGAGTTCCACCCTGGACAAACTCCCAGTTTTTCAGTGGGAATGAGGGGTGCAAAATCACAGAATCACACAATAATGAGGTTGGAAGAGACCTCTAAGATTATCAAGTCCAGCCTATGCCCTAACACCTCAACCAGACTATAGCACCAAGTGCCATGTCCAGTCTTTTTTAAACACATCCAGAGATGGTGATTCTACCACCTCCCTGGGAAGAGCATTCCAGTACTTTATTATTCTTTTGGTGAAAAATTTCTTCCTAATATCCAACCTGTACCTTCCCTGATGTAGCTTGGGACTGTGTCCTCTGGTTCTGTCAGAGACCAACCCCTCTGCAGCCTCCCTTCAGGAAGGTGTAGAGAGCAATGAGGTCACCTCTGAGCCTCCTCTTCTCCAGGCTAAATAGCCCCAACTCCTTCAAACGTTCCTCACAGGGTTTGTGTTCCCAGCCCCTCACCAGCCTTGCTACCCTCCTCTGCATGCTCAAGCATCATAACATCCTTCCCAAACTGGGGGCCCAGAGCTGAACAGAGGACTCAAGATGGGTCTCACCAGGTGCAGGGGTGCAGCAGGCACACAGGTGCCAGGTGTGTGCCCCAGCACAGCCCAGGGGGCTCTCACATCACATCTGTGCTTTAAAAACACTTCTCTGAGTCTTTAATTAGCTACAAAATGGGTGTGGGACAAAGGCAAGCCAGTGTCAAGGAGTGGGCAATAAAATCTTTCACTGCTTTGCCCCAGGCACAAGGTGCCCCTGGGGTGTCTCCTGACCCTGCTCCCATCCCAGGGAGCCACACTATGGGTAAGATCCCTTAAGCCTGGAGACACCCCAAAAGTGCTTTAATAGGATTGCAGGACACAGAATTTTATTTTCTCTGACAATCCTGAAAATATCTCACCTTCCCTCACTGTAACCACCTCAAAAATCCAGGCAAGCTCTGTTGTTAAAGGTCCCACCTGTGAACTGAAGAGGAAGCTGTCCCTATTTTCCCTCAACATCCTATTCCTCCCCCCAAGGCTTTGGGTATTTTCTTGGATTACTGTGCCTTTACTCTGTGAGCGTGGCTCTGCTAAATCATTACACACAGGAGCCTTTAGCAGCTTTCTCACCACTCCAGGTTATTCATCTGTACATTTTACTACAACTTAAGTAGAGAGATGGGCCAGATATTATGACATTTAGTTCCCTGGGCTCCCCACATTTCCCCAAGGGAGGTGAAATGAGTTGTTACAGACAGACACTATTAAAATCAAGTGCACCAGAGAGGAAATATCCTCAAATGAGAGAACTACTGGTGCATACAGAGGGAAAAAATAAAAGGGAAAAAAGAAGAATTATGAGAGACACACATGAGGTAACAGAAGCTATCAGTACCTGGATTCAGAGGGGAAGGGAGGAGCAGCAGATGGGAGCAAAAGATGATTAATATTGGTCATTAATCAGAGGAAACATTTGTTTGGGATAATCTTCTATTAGTTATGATAATATTTGTGCAAGCAGACGCAGTGAAAAGCACACTGAACATTATGTTGCCTTCGCCTCCCCTGCCTGCAGTGCTTTCCTGAGGGGCTGGAAAGGAATCCAAGACAAATGAACCCTCAGCAGCACAAACCAGCTGGACAAGGTGGGGCAAATTTTCCACACAGCAGATCATTTTTAGATGCTTGAGATCAGTTCTCCTAAGAACTGTGGGCAATAAGACTCTTTCAATGGAAACCACTGAAACAACAACCTCTTCATGCCTCTTGGTGACTGCTGAAGATGCCACCAGCTGAATCCTTCTGCCTTAGGAAGTGCTGTGCTCCTGGACTGCCTCTATAATGATCCCAAATTGTGGATTCCAAGCCCATCTCATGGCAGGAGGAGCTGAGCCCATGGTGGTCCCACAAATACCTGTGCTGGATCGAACCATCTCCGTGCCAACCACGTGGCCCAGCAGGTCATACTGGTTCAGGCGGGATCCACCCTTGGCTACTTCCACAGATTTGTCCTTCCCCAGGGTCCAGGTGTAGATCACCTCTGTCTTTGTGTAGGCATCTGCAGAGGAGGGAGAACAAGGAGCTCTGTGCTTCTGCCTGACCTCAAATATACCAAAATTAGCCTGTAGCCAAATGAATCTTTGCTGTGCATCTCTCAGAGCCACATGGCTGAGCACAGCCAAGCATGGCCAGGGACCAAGGCAGATCAACAACTGTTAAATCAAAGGAGCAGGAGAGAGCTGGGCTGTTTGCAAGGGAGCTGCAGAGGGGCAGAGCTCTGTCACTGACAGACAGGCTGACTCTGCAAGGGCTGCCTCCAACAGGGACAGCATCCAGCCAGCAGGACAGCACAGCCCTGCCATGCCAGGCACAGGGAAAGTCCTGCTGGCAGCAGCTGGAGCAAAGCCTGAATGCAAATGGGGCTAAATTTTAGGTTAAAAAGTTCCAACTTTTTACTCTCACTCAAAGGCAGCTCTCTCCAAGACTCTCAGGTTTGGAGGTGGTGTCCTCTCACACCTAAATGCTTTTTCCTGTTGCAATAATAAGCAGCCAGGACTCAGTTTCTTCATGCAGGAAAAGCCCCTTCTGTATTCACACAACTCATTTTTATATAGTCTTTACAGACCTTGTATTCAACTCTAACTGGCTAGTAGTTCTCTTGCCACTCAGTTCATTGGTTAATAAGTGGCATCTTAGCTTTCCATCAAATCTCTGTATTCTGGGATTCTTTACATATTTTCTTCACTGATTCTCATGGGACAGATTTATTGGTTATTCAGGTGCAAACTTATTTTCCTACTAGAATAGGTTGTTATGTTAACTGCCTTCATTCTTATGATTTGAACTTATGGGGACTTACAATCTACTGCTAGTTTAGCTAGAGTAGCAGGGCCTAAACCATATTTTATAAGGCCTTTCTTTTATAATATCTCCTTTCTTTTATAATATCTCCTTCTTTTATAATATCTCTGTCTGCAGCATTTTCCATGTGTTTGTGACCAAGCCCCCCTCTCAAGAGTGCTCTTGGCTTTTCCAGTCCTATGGTTATCAAAAAAATGATTGCTAGGAGCTATTTCTCCCCATAATGCCCCAAATTCCTGTCCATACCAAGTTTGCACCAGCTTTTTAAGCAAGAACAAAATTCACTACACCAAGCCTTCAGTTCATTTTTACCCACTACCTTCTCCTGGTGAAGATCTGCAGGAATTCTTCGGCTGTGGTCAGGTCAAGCAATGTGTCAGATCTACTGGAGAAACGTCTCAGCTGCTGCTCTGTGGAACATTGTGTCCAAAAAAGCCACATTTCTGTGATCTTTCTAAAACAACCACAGCAATTGCTGCACTCTGGGTTTTGGCAAACCTGCTCCACGTTAAGCAGGGGCTGTGCAAACCTTGAGAGAGGTTTTGGTGATCAGCCAATGTTTCTCAGCAGGCCAGAGTGCTGCCTAAGCTCTTCTGGTGCAGGCTGGCACCTCTCACTCTGCTTTTCCAACCCTCCTTCCAGCCCTCCATATGCTTCTGGAGCCCTCCATCCTCCTTCAGAGCTTTGTGTAGCTCTGCCACTGCTCTTCCACCTGAGGGGCAGCTCCTCCTGCTCTACAGTCCAGTCCAACCATTGCCACTCCAGGCCCACAGTTTCACTGCCATCATTCCTGATAACTATAGTTATTTCTATATATATATATAAATAAAAATATAAATATATATAAAATAGAAATAAATAAATAATATATATATGTACATATATATGCATATATGCAATTCCTGTCCATACCAAGTCTATGTATGTATATATAGTTGGTATGAACAGGCATTTTGGTCATTCTGATGAAAAATAGCTCCTAGTAGTGTGGTTGTCTGGGACAGAAGGGTATCTGATGTCACACAGGCATGGCATGGATGTTTGGAACACGTTTCATGCCAGGCAGCTGCTTTGGTTCAGCTCAATGCCTCGTTTGCAATGCAAAATCCAATCCAAACAGGGACAGCTCGTGGACATTTAGGGGAGCTGGTAAATTCAGCAGCATCTCCTGCTCCCCTGTCTCAGAGAGCTGCTGTACAAGTGTCCTGTGATGGTTTAGGAGCAGCTCTCTGCAGTGCACATTGATCTTTGATGAGCAGAGCCATCCCTGCACTGCACCTGCCCAAGGGATGCTGCAGGTGGGCAGCTGAAGCTCTCTGCAGTGCCTGATGCCCTTAATCCTCCTGCAAATTCCCTGCTTTACCCCCTCAGGGGCTGCCCTGGTGGTCCAGGGACAGAAGGGCACTGCTGATCACTTGTGAGGATCAGCAGAAAATGGTCTGTGAGGCAAACTCAGCATCCTTTGGGCACTGTGGGTCTGGCACTGGCATTGTCCTTCTAATTGCAAACCTGACCCACTTCAGGCTTCTTGAAAATGAGCCGCTTCCAGCTGTCAATGGCTTTTTAGTGAAAACACTGGTTTAATCCCACTCCAGCACAGGAGAGGTGAGCTCTGATGCTCTGTGAGTGCTTTAGAAAAAGTCACATTAATGTTAACCGGGGGCAGCTTTCTGAGCTCCTTGTCTCAAAACTCTCATCATTCAGAGGTCAAATCAGTAAAAGAAATAAGCCCAAAGGGTGTTCCAGCAGAAACACACACATTAATCTCTTTTCCTCACCAAGAAACATTATAAGCAATTAGATGTGCAGTAATCTGCCTTCCTGCAAGTCTTGTAACAATCCCAGAGTTTAGGCCTGAGGTATGAGATTTGATATCCCTCCTCACAAGGTCAATTAACATTAATAATTCATCCTTCTCTAAGGCCTTACTGATGTCTTGTGGCAATGGGTTCTACATTTAATTAGGTGCTGCCTAAGAAATAGCTTTATTTCAGGAGTTCTGAATAATCCACTTTCATGGCTGCAGTTTGGCATGAGGCAGAAGAGCAGATGCACATGATAAATATGATTTCCTCTCCTGCCAATCAAACTTTTCAACTTTGTCCTCAGTTAGCTCCCAGATGGCTACAGGAAGGAAGTGTCACTTTGGGAAGGTTGGGGTTTTTCTGGCGGGTCACTGGTATGGGCTCATTCTTTAGCTGGAGGTGGGAAACTCTCTCATCTAACACAAATACAGACTAAAAGTGGTGCTCAGTTCATTGGAGCTGGGAAGGAGCCCAGGCAGAGCCAGACCAGGATGTTTATTTCCACATCATGGTGAGCCAGGGTCTTGGGACTCACTTTAGGAACAAAACCAAATAAAGTTAACTTGCATATGCAGAAATAAGGGAATTCTATAGGGAGCCCAAGCAGCTGAGCAGCTGCAAGTCTGGGAGCAGCTTTTAACTCACCAGCAGCCTGCAAATCTTCCCTAAACCAGGACATTTTGCTGCTGGGGCTGAGATTCCCAGAGTTTCCAGGCCTTTCACCTGAGATCAGCCTGCCTGACAGACTAAACAGGGGCAGGGGGTTTGTCTCAAAATCCATGGAGCCAGAGGAACCAGGAGCTCAGGCTGGCAGGATGGGACACCACTGCTGTCCCAAATCTGTCTTCCCACCATCCCCTTGTGATGAAGAAAAAGCACAACTCATATTTATAATCATAGAATCATTAATGTTAGAAAAGGCCTCTCAAGATTATCAAGACCAACCATTAACCCAGCACTGCCAAGCCCATATCTCCAGGTGCCCAAAATACTCATTTTTGAACACTTTGAGGGATGGTGACTCCACCACCTCCCTGAGCTGCCTGTTCCAATGCTTGACTAGCCTTACACTGAAGAAATTTTTCCTTATATCCAATCTAAACGTCCCTTGGCACAACCTGAGGTCATTTCCTCTCATCCTGTCCCTTTTTACCTGGCAGGAGACTGATTCCCACCTACTTTCTAAATAAATTTACAGCAAAACCATGGGTGTCTAACCCATCCTGTAAGCCTGAACTGAGCACAGACTCACTCAGTGATGAATTGCATGTATGAGACACCAGAAAAAACAATTTGGTCACATTATCATCAGCAAAAATGAATATTACTAAAAGCCTGTGAGACATCAGCCACACCAAGGACTGCTCTCCAGGCCTGTAGCCCCTCCTTCCAGAGGTGCTGTGGGTACTTACAGCTCCCAAATTTCAGGGGGCAGGCGTGCACGTCCATGGGGAAGTCCTCCAGGTGCATGGGGCACTCGGCGTGGATGGTCAGCCTGTGGACAAAGCACAGGGGCTGCTCAGGACAGGCTGGCCCTTCTGCCAGAGCCTCCTGCAGCCAGCAGCACTGCCAAAGGCTCACCAGCCTCGGGGCAGAAGGCACCCAGATGTGGAGAGCACAGAAGGACACACATCTGGCAGCTTTGCCATGGTGTGAGCTCAACCCTATTGACCAAGTTCATCTTCAGCCACTGAGTGCAATGGGGAAATGTGCCAGAGCCCAGGAGTTCTGAGTGCTTTTGGGCTGTGAGCAGAGCTCCTGTGCCACCATCACATTCTCTGAAAAATCCCTTTGCCCAGGATGCTTCTCCTGGGAAGCTGAGAAGCCTCAGAGAAAAAGGAAAACAATATTATCTCATTTGCTTCTCCTGTATTTTGGTGCTTTGGAATGTGGTTTGGAGATTGTTTACCCAACAGGTGAATTGTTTCATTGGTTTCATGTGAATTGTTTTAACTTAATGACCAGTTGTTTTAACTTAATGACCATCAGCTGTGTCAAACTCTGAGGAGAGAGTCATGAGTTTTTTATTAGTAACTTGTTAAACCTTCTGTAAGTATCCTTTCTCTATTCTTTAGTAGAGTTTTAGTATAGCTATGTGAAATGATATGATATGATATGATATGATATGATATATATATATGCCTTTTAAGAACATGGAGTCAGATTCACCTTTCCTCCCCACAATGGGGGATCCCAAAAATCCCACCCTCCTGGGGTTGGGGACATCTCATGGACCACGCTGGCAGGCAGAGGGGAAGGGCTCCCAGGGGCTCCCAGGGAACAGGGCTGCTGCTCTGGAAGGAGCTGAGGGCTGACACATGGTGCAAAGTCCAGATCCATGAACCACCAGGGTACAACACCCCCTGTCCATGTGGGACACCCCATCCCACCTGCCCTGGCTCCTCCCTCCACTGCGGAGGATGCTGCAGGCAGGTGAGGAACTGGAACATCCTGGGGGTGTGCAACACAACCTGTTCTTTCCAAATCCCCACAGGACACCTGGGGGTGTGCAGGACAACCTGTGCTTTCAAAATCCCCCAAATCCCAGTAGGATGCCTCATCAGGAAGCAGCTTTGTGAGGGAAGCACAGCCATAAAAAAAGCATAAAAAGCTGCAAAATATGGGGCCGGGCATAAAAGGATCCATGATAAAGGGCTCTAAAAAAGGGAGCTGGTGTTCCTTCCTGGAGCACTGCAAAGAGTGCAGCCAGGGAGAGGGAGCCAGGAGAGATAGCTTCCCAGGAGATGTCTAAAACAATCTCCTCTGAAGGAACCATTTGTAGGGAAAAAAATAAAATAGGATTCCCTTCTGATGGCTCAGCAAAACAGCAAACAAACCATGGCAGGAGCAACATGTGGATGGAAAGGGCAACTGCACAGACTGCAGGTGGCTTGTGCAAAACTCAGGTTGAGAAGTTTCTATTGAGATATTTTCCTTTGGCTAGAAAAATGTTCAGCTGAGTTATTCTTCAAAGAAAATACTGAGGCTTAGTCAAATGCAAAATAAATAAAGGCTTTGGGTTTTGTTTGCTAAAAGCAAAGAATAGTTTTGTTAAAGGAAATAAAATAAAAATAAAGGTTATTTCTTTCAGGCAAACAAACTTTAAATGCTTCTATTAAAAAAAAATTAAAAGAGGACTTTTTTTTAAATTCCGTGGACAAAACTAAACCCTTCACAAATTGCTGTAAAAACCCCTGTGGAGGAAACAAAGCAGAGTGGCTGTGAGGTGGCAGAGGTGGCACAGCTGCAGTGGCAGTGGCTGCATGTGGCAGCTGCTGCTGTGAGAGGGGACAGCCACACACAGGGACAAGGCAGCAAACCCTGCCCAGCTGCTGCACTGGAACCTCTCCATTATCGGATTTGCAGGGTGCCCTGATGAAGGCAGGAATGATGCATCTGACTCCATGTTCTCAGAAGGTTAATTTGTTACTTACTATTACTTTATAATACTATATTGTAATAAAGAATACTAAACTATACTAAAGAATACAGAAAGGATACTTACTCAATGTTAAAAAGATAAAAATGAAAACTCATGACTCTCTCCAGAGTCCCAGCTTGGCACTGACTGGCCAATGAGTGAAAATAACTCGCACCAGAATCCAATGAAAAAATCACCTGTGGGTAAACAATCTCCAAACACATTCCACATGAGCACAACACAGGAGAAGCAAATTAGATAAGAATTGTTTTCCTTTTCTCTGAGGCTTCTCAGCTTCCCAGGAGAAAAATCCTGGGCAAAGGGATTTTTTCAGAGAATGTGAATGCCACACCCCATCACCTGTGAGTTCTACTTTGCCAGGTGAGGGAAGGAGCCCCGGATTTCAGAGTCACATCCAGCCTCACCTGCAGCTCCCAGAGGGTTCAGGAAAGCTGGCAACCCCACGAGAGAGAGCAGAGGAGTTAAATCAAGAAGCAAGCAGAGAGTTGCCATAACTTTGGTGGGGCAGAGCTGGGTGGCCCGAACTCCCTGGAGGCCCTGCAGCACTCAGAGCAGGGCATTAACCCCCAGTTCCCCCAGTCCTTGGGAATATCTGGCAATTCGGACACCAAGGGCCTGGCCTGCAGTGGGTGTGCCAGTCCTGTCTGAACCTCTGCCCATGGAAACCTCATGTCCTGTGAGAACCTGGCAAAGAGGGCATGGAGGGGATGCTGCCTGTCCTGCTTGCTTCACAGCTGCCTCCAGCCTGGCTCTCTCAGCCAAGCCAGGAACCACTGTGTGCCCAAAGCAACTTCTGCAGACAAATCACTCTGTCTGACTCGGTGATCTCTCCTTCACACTGCGCTGAATGCACCTGTTTTACATGAAAGAGAAGAAGACCTGACCTTTAGACTTCAGTCAAGGCTCACTGAAGACTGACAGGGATTTTCACAAGCCTACAAGCACAGGGTTGTAACTATTTTCTCCTGGACACTCAAAGGCCACCATGAACAAATTGCTTGTTTGCTCTGATGCCTCTCTTTTCCAATATGGATTTTCAAGAAACACAGGTATAAAAACCTGGCAGCTTGGTGTGGACTTGACTGCCTTGCTCTTCCTGTTCTGTTTCTTTTGTGATGTTCTCTTCAGCCAGCTCAAAATCCACTTGGGGAGCTCTTGGCTGGCAAGCTTGTCAAGCATATTCTCACAGATCTTAGTCTTCGATTCCTTCTGAATCTTTTCCAACTGCAATGGACTTTTTGCTTCTCATTTTGTCACTGTCACTTGTGTCAGGGAAATGTTGAGACATCTCCCCAGTCTCCCTCAGCAGCCCACACCAGAATTTTCCTTTTTACCTCCCTGTTTTTTCATCTGCTTCACTCCTTGCTTTATTATTTCAAAAGGCTCTTAGCTGGGAGTTCCCAAAGTTGGCTTTTCCAAAGGACCCCATCTCTGACCAGGGCCCTCCTTCGGCATCCTGAACCCACCCCAAAAAACCCAGGGAAGTCTTTTGCTTCCACTGTACTGTCTGCAAGTGTTGGCTGTGATCATCAGCCACTCTGAATGATCCCAAGGACTGCAGATTTTGGGCCTGATGGGTTTGTGCCATTTAGAGCAGCCAGGAAGAGCCTCAGAGAGGACCAGGACAGCAGCAGAACTGGCCTTGGCCAAATCCTGCCCTCTCCAGGCCATGGCCAACAAGAGCAAGTGCTGCCAAGGGAAGGAGACAATTTTATATGGATGCTGCATGGCTCCCTCAATACGTGGGAATGCAGCAGTTGCATTTTAAATCTAAAGCCTGTTTTATTAGCTGAGTCAGCAAGCAATAAAAGAAGAAATCCATCAACAAACCACTGGAAAAGCAACCTAATCTGCCAGTTCTCTACCTACAACTGAAGGAGTTTTTAAGTGTCCTGAAATTTAATAAAAAAAGGTGAAGTTGCATCATTCCAGCAAGGTGAGTCTGGTTCAGCAGCTTCAGCCAGCCACAGGTCAGCAGGCTCCCAGGTAACACAGAGATGTCAAACCACAAGGAATGTCTCTCGCTTCCCAGACAATTACCACAGCCTCTGCAGCATTTGGATCAAAGGGTTTATTGCAGAAATTCTCATCTCAGCCCCTTGTCCTGTGCAGGGGAGCTGATGGCCAGAGAGCCACTGCGTTTTGCTTCATTGCTCTGATGGGCTATTTACATCCAGCATGCCTGGAAAGTCCTTAGAAAGCTAAAGAGCACCTAAAAAATAGCCAAGCTACCAGAAACCACATCAGCCAGCAGTCACAGCCTTTGGCTCATCAGTCCCAGGCACCTGCAGCAATTTATGCAGAACTGTCTTATGCCAAGCCCCAAACTGCTCGTGTTTTCTTCTCAGGACTTCTGTTGCTCACAGTGACCCTGAGATGTGTCAGAGTCTCTTTTCCCAGCCTGGCAGCCAAAGAAGGAGTCAGAACTCTTCTGTTCTCATTCTCAAGGTTGTTTATTGTTTCTTATCTATAAAATTCTGTTTCTGGCCTGCTGAGGTCTGTCCAGCAGGTCAGACAGAGGCACTGCCTGCCTTGGGGTGGTGTTATCTTTTCATACTAAAAACTATGTGTAAAACATTTACCTACCTTAAACCAATCCAAAAGTGCCACCATCACAGCAGAAGATGGAGGCCAAGAAGAAGAAGAAGAAGAAAGACTGGACACACCCAGATTCCTCCATTGAACCCCCATTCTAAAAACCCCAAAAATCTATTTTTCACCCAGTGACAAACTATTATTCTACTTAAACTCTCTTGACTTGTAATTCCGCATATGAAGGTTGGCAATTGTTTCTTTCAAGGGCTAAATCAAAGTCACCGGGGTCTTGGTCTCTGTCACAGACATCTTTTATGAAAAATCCTTTCCTTAGGATTTTTCCACCTGAGAAGCTGAGAGGCCTCAGGAACAAAATGTAAACAATGGTTATCTGCTGCTGTAGAATGCAACAGGTGGAGCTTTGATTGGTCTCATAGAGTTGTTTCTAATTAATGGCCAAACACAGTCAGCTGGCTCAGACTCTGTCTGAGACAAAAGCTTTTGTTATCATTCTTTTT